GATGCAGCAGCAGAGGAGAGCGAATTGTCCCCGTACCTGGTTGGTGCCAAAGACGTTTGCTCACGTGGCGAGCTGAAGCTCAGGCAAGGCAGGTGTTGGAAATGGTGAGTTTGAAGCCTGCGAAGTGCCAGCCTTTAGCTCTCCGGATCTGACGGTTGGAATTCTATCTGCTGTTGCACATACCTGGGTGTAGAGATGCATCTGTCTCGGGTCCATTTTGCGAGGGCACTCGCTTACTTCGCCGGCACCGAAGACAAGGAGCTCTTGAACTGCTGCGCGCCAGCAAACTTCGCCGAGTTCAAATCCAGAAGTCCTAAAGTCCACCGCTCCGGAAACCTGAAGCCCAAAGCTTGAAGCCCTACATCCGAAAGCCCGAACGCTTGAAGCCCAGCCGTAAAGCCCCACCCCGAAAGCCTGAACCTCCCATGCAGGCCTGAAGTTTCTTGTGGGACACTTTCAGGACTCCATTCTGCCCATCTTGGATCAGCTCGACTCCAAAGCCAGGTGCGAGGAGTAAGAGATGTAACTTTCAAGAGCGAGAGCGAGAGAGAGAGAGAGAGAGAGAACAACAACTGCAGGTCAGTGAGTGAACATGTGAGTGAGACCAAGAAGGCACCACAAAGATGCTGAGGGATAGTGAGAATGAGAATATGGTGAGTGGTTGCGGTCAAGAGGTTCACCGTTCAGCCCGGCGGAATGGGAGGGGGACACAGCCAAGAAGGTTTTGCAAGCAAGTGCAAAGGGGCGAAGATGATCGGGGCGGCATGCTGAGAATGTGAGAAGAGGCGAAAGAACAGACAGCGTAGATTCGGTGGACGTTTGCTTGGAATTCTGCAGACTCACCAGTAGCAGTTTAGTTCACTGTGAAGTACTGTACCCACCGTGCTGGCAGGGACGCGGCTGATTCACTAATCCAGAAGCATGCAGCCAGAGGAATGCCGGAAGACCGGCAGGACCCGTGAGCATGTTTGTGGTTCTTTCACCAGGTCATGGGTTGAGTGGCGATGGCCTTGCGAGTTTCTGACCCACGGCACCCCAACGCAACACGTGCTACTGTAAGCCGCTACGCCCTGCTCGGAGGAAGCTGTTCGGGCAAAGGCAGCAGCAGTGTCTTGGACAGCAAATGAGCAAATGCACAGTCTAGGCGAGCCCTGTGAGCAGTTTTTTTGTGGTCGCAAAGGACTACAGAGACTCTGTGGATCAACCTGCGCCAGTGGTACCAGGATTGCATGGTTGCTGCGTCGTGAATGGTTCCAGGCCAAGCCAGCAGCCCTCGAAGCCCTGAGTGCCACACGCAGCCGTCTACGTGGCTCCGGGAGCCTTTGCTGATACAGAGCCTGCAAAATCAATGGCTTCTGTTTCAGCCCCTGTCTACTTCGCAAGCCACGAAAACTCGGCTCCAGTCGTGGCTGAGCGTATCCTGAAAGCTCCGTCTCCGGTGTCTACAATTCAAGTTGAATCCGATCGACGCCGGCCCAATCCTAAACCGAGCAAGGACGGCAGACTGGCTGCCGAACTGGGTAACACGCCAAGAAGTTCTGCAGGCAGCCGGCATGTGGCGTGTCAACCCTTCCGTTGCTAGGTCGTGTTCGTATCCACTGCTCCTTGTACGGTTATGCCAGAATAGGTACTTGCGACTTAGAGTGTCCCCTCTCGGCGAAGCAACTGTAAACCCTGCGAACTACCTGGCTTAAAATGGGGGTCCCTGATACAGTACCCTAAATAGTAGGATCCTTATTATAAAGACCCCAAAGTAAGGTACCCCTACTTTTCGGAAGCTCCCTTTTCAGAAGTCCCTGGCTGCAGGCAGCCATCGCCCAAATCGATTCCAGCGAGGAGTGGCAGTTGCCGCAGCTACTGCTCGAGACGGATATTGTTTCTGGTGATTTCTGATATATAGTACCCCAAATAGTAGGATCCTTATGATAAGGACACCGAAATAAGGTGCCCCTAATTCATTTGTGGCCAGGGCCGTGGTTGTGACGTTCTTCGCCTGACAGGATGCAGATGATGCGCAGGCGCGTGGGAAGGCGCAAGAGAGAGATGCAGGCACCGAGACTGCAAGCAGCAATCTTACACTCTTACACCTGATGGCCACAATATGAGATGTTTGAGAAGTTTTTTGAGCCGCCATCAGAAAGCGTGGCCGGTCGTCCCGACTCTCCGAGTGGTGACAGTGGCAGTGACTGGCTGTACCAGAGTGCTGAGGCCAGTGGCTGCGGCAGAACTCAAGAAAAGACGCAGGCAAGTCAATTTACTTGCGTAGTTTAGGGTTTAGGGTGTGAGGAACCTTCTCAAACCACTGAATCACAGCCTCTCAAATCTTGATTTGATGATTCCATGATTTCGGGCGCATCGCTTGGAGGTCAAGAAGGCTTGCTTGGTGAGCTGGCAGACGGTGAGTGCATGATGCTGAGCTGACAAAGACCTGCAGACCCGCATGGCTTGCCCGTATGCCAAGCCCCCCTGCAAGTATGGCTAGCAGTAGCAGCATGTTAGTTTCTGAGCCGTTTGCTGTCACACATTCCCGGCAGACATGGGCAGACCTGCAGGAGAGCACGTACGTGGAGGATCGAGAAGAAAACCCCTTTCGAAACGGCAATCGGGACTGCCAGGAACAGTGTCACGGTAATGCTGCACCCGGCATTCTCATTCCCTGCTCCGCTTTGTCGGCATTGAATCATGAACTCTGCGTAGTTCACATGATCCTTTCTTCGTGCGGTCGAATTCCACTCGATGCTCTCAAGCTGGACTGAGCACTCCGTGTCAAACATGTACACAGCTGTTGCGGGTTTGCTGACGTAGTGTCCAACACTCTCACAATTTCCTTTTGCAATCTGCGCGTCTCAGCTCAACGCCAAGGACATTTATCTCCAATCTGAACGTCCTGGGCGGACCAAGCCGGAGAACACTTCCGGAAGGCTGTAGACATCAATTTGATCTGCCGGCTTCTTCACTGACTCAGGGTGTGCGGCTTTCGTGGATGTTTTCACTCCTACCTTTTAACAATGTTGCCCAACCAGTCGCACTATTCCACGCCGAATCTGTATCCTGAAAATACTCCCCTGAGGAATGAGGAAGACCAAACTGAATCCTTCCCGATGCAGGCATCAAAGGAGAGGTCGATGGGCTCCTGCTGCGTGGGGATCCCCCGGAGTTGGCAGCGCCTCCCAGCCGCAGAAAGGGAAAACCGCCTCCGAGGGCCATTTCCAGGGACTCTTACGGTTTTGGGGGATCTTTGCCTCTATGTTCTGGACCCTGCGGTGATCGGCCCGCTCCCCGCAGCCTTCAGGTGTCAGTGAACACATGAGAATGTCCCAGAGTTAGAGCTACCGCTACCTGTCGCGTGTGCTGAAGAGCGCTGAATTAAGCTCGGGCTAAGGATTGTTGAGTGCAAAGCCGGCACTGCCATTTATGGCGACTTGCAAAAGCTGGATGGATTGCTGGAGTTCCTTGTTGCTTGGCTCCAGCTTTGAGTATGATATAGGCTGGGCCTTTCAGCTGCTTCGCATCTAGTAGAGACGCGATTGGCGGTCTTAGAAGCTGGAGTGCCCTGAAATCATCTTCTCACTGATTCGTTCCCGCTGCGAGCCGCCTGCTTCAGTTCAACGGTGGCTGCCAAGGAGTCGGGCGACGAACAGGTGGCCCACTTTGAGGTTGTGAAGCCAGGAAAGAATGCACCGTCGGCACCCCAGGAATTGAAGGACACACAGCAAAGCGCCGCTTCTCAGACATATCAAAAATATCACTTGGGGTTTCGGCGGGCAGTTCAGAGCCCCTCGTTGTGATCTGCGCGAACATGAAAACTTTATTGGCACATTCGATCTGCAATCTGCATAGGGGCTTCCCTGGTCGGGTCTTCCAGAACGCCGACAGTCAAGTCTGAAGTGAATGGGCATGCCGAGACGCGGAGCATGTGTAAGGCGAGAGCTAGCTGTGCAACTTCCACCGGACGGCGCTCGTTCGGTCAAGGCCTCCTTCTTGGACTTTCACTTGTCATGCTGGGGCTGATTTGGCAAGCTGACGGATGATTGCTTGCTGTTTTGAAGCGTTTCTTGGCATCCTCCTGGAAGGTGAACTACTTCTTGGGTGGTCTTCCCGAGGATGACACAGGCCTGAAAAATTTGGAACTCCCCAGAGGCCTAGAGAGGTTTCTGTGAGATCTCTTGGCAGGCGAGAGCTCCTTGGTGAGTCTGCTGAGGCGGACCGCCGTCGAAAGCCAGGGGGGAGCCCAGCAAAGAGCAAAGGGCCTTGAGAAAACTGCTCAAAAGGCCTTCGGTGGCCTCGCAAGAGAAGGGCAAGCTGCTCTTCAGGTCGTGGCTCCGTGGGCATTTATTCGGTCACCCACGTCCAGCAGTTTGTAGCACCGCAGCCCCCGCCCTCCCAAGCGGAGGACGACTCGACGACCCCCTCTTTTCCGAGGTTCCCTCCAGGGCAGCAGCACGAGGAAAGCCGTCTGGACCTCGTAGCTCGATGCTCAGAGCCGAGCCGCCCAAAGAGGAGGAGCGGAGCGCGCCCTCTCTCGACTGCCAAGGATGTGCCGCCTGACGCCTGGCTGGTACAGGCCACCATGGCAGAGGCCGAGGTGGGGCCGGTCGCAGGGGGAGTCAGCACCGCGCCTGCTGCAAGCCTGGGGGCCCGGGTCTCCGGGAATCCCACCCCAGGTCGTCAAGGCACAGCAGCGTGTGGACGAGTTTCTCGACGATGTGCGCCGCCGCTACGAGCAGGGCCGCATCTCCTTCTATGTGCGCCAAGAGGAGAAAAATTGGAGTCCCAGGGTTGCGCTGCTGTGCCCCGAGATGTCGAGTTGAAGCCGTCAGGGCCGTTTGCTCGAGACCTTCGTTCAAGTTCGGATTGAATAGTCGATAAGTTAAACTCCGGACATTGGACACTACGCATCCCATCCTTGAATCGAACCCGACACTCGAGATAAATTCCTACACCCACCCTAAACCTTGCTCGTAGCAGAGTTTGAAACGTCGCTGTCGTCACTGGGCCAGGTGTTGGCACATCCGTGCAACTCGGGCTACCATTCCTTCGGACGGACTCTCAGCTTCCCAGCTTAGTTGCGTCTAAGCAGTATCATTAGTTTCAGTGCTGTTTATGGCTATGACTGTTACTATGTCTAGTGTTGTTGTTGCCCATGGTTGTTTTTGATACTATTCCAATTTCCTATTGTTCTGGACAGGCAACATTGTCCTGCACACCTTCTGTGGGGAACCGATGCGGAATGTCGCGGAGCTCGCCAGAGCGGTGCGCGCCCAGCAGAGGGATATCTTTGAAGACGGCCGTGTTCTCTGGTTCGCTTCTCTCGCTTTTGATGCTTTAGCCCTAGTGTTCCTGGTGAGCAGTGATTGATCATGCTCGAGATTTCAGGCTCACATGCAGGGACGGCCGCTGGAAATTTAGAAATTTAGCATCGGCGCAGCATGGGTCTTGCGGAGTCACGGTCGTGCAGGGCCAAAATCAGCCCCGAGATCCAGATGGAGATCCAGGAACGAGCCAGGACCAGCTTCTTGTCCGGAGAGTTCTTGTGCTCAGGAGGATGCTGCAGTTCAGTGCCTCTGGGTGCAGCCTTGCAAAGAGTCTTCGAGCAAGTTTCCAGGCTCAGGCATGGCTTCTCCTCGTTGGACCTCTTCCGAGACGCCGTTCATGTGCTGCCCGTACCATTGCAGCATGATCTCGACGATCGCGAGTGCGACTTCCGTGGTTGCTCCAGTGTCGAGGATGTCGTCTCGTTGTTCTTCCAACGCGTGGTTGCCAACCACTTGCTGAAGGGGGCCAAAGACATCGTTTGGGGACGGTCCAAAGGTTCCTCTCTGTTCTCTGACTGTGACCTTCAAGGTGCGACGCGCGCCGAGCTGGACCTCTGCATGGTCAGCGACGCGATATCTCCGTTGGCCTCCCTGACCGTGGCTTGCTTCATGAAGGATGTCCTGCACGAGCATCACCTGCCTTTGGCCGATGAGGCAGTGCACCCGGAATCTCCTTCAGGCCCGCCGGCGAGCCACTGTGACGATGCTTTGGCATGGCCCGATCTTGAATACACTTGCGCAAGAGCGGTTGAGCGGCGCCCGATCCGTCGGTGGAGAAGACATGTCGGGACGAGTGCTCGGCACAAGCTGGGCAAGTTGCGAGTGGGGCAGGAGCGTATCCGGTGCGAGTGCCGGGCATGTGAGACGAAAGGCCATGACGGTTTTCTCGAACCAGGGACGCTCGTGCAACCGGTCGACATCTGCAGAGGGATGCTTCTGGAACTTTCGAATGTCTTCACATGCAGTATGGTCAAGCGCTTCGCAGAAGCGGACCGCTGTCTCTTGTCGCCCACGGGCAGCTATTGGCGTGTGGTGGGCTCCAACATTCCTGTCTTGGCCTCGCCAAGTCCGGCCACTGATGGGGACGCTGCCAAAGTCCTAAGGCGTCTGGCAAAAGACGATGTTGTCAAGGCAACTGAGGTGCTGCCAACGTTTGCCGCTGTTCAAGGCAGTGTGTCAGACATCCTCCATGTGCTTACGCTCGACGGCAAGTTGATATTCGCCCTTGCCGCAAATGCCACTGTGGAGGGCCGATGCTTGGCCACGGTGAAGTCACTCATCATGCAACGACTGGAGCTTTCAGAGATGGTTGCTGTGGAGTTGGTACCTCTCTTCACTGCTTGCCGCTTGGAGGATTCCCACCAGCTGTCTGCCCTTGCAGCTTGGCTTCCCTTCAGACTGCTGCTGACCAGTTAAAGCTTTGGCCATGGCCGTTTGTTTGAGCAGCAAAGAAGAGGTATGTGTTCAGATTCATGAACTTCTGGCATTCGTTCCGAAAAGGTGGCTGCCAGCGAGCTTACTGGTCCACTGGAGTTTCAAGCCGCCTTCTGCATAAATTCCCATTTTGCCCCGTGGGTGCCGCTGGCAGACGGGGGTTTTGTGCCCTCGTCGCAAGTGCAGTTCATGAGTTTGCTTTTGCAGCGTAGCGTGAATCTCCATGCGTTCGACTGACTTGGTAAGGTGCGCATGTACGAGGATCACTGGTTGAGGAGATTCTCGTGAATGCGCCTGTAGATACTGCGTGCATTGTGCTTGCCTGAGTTTTGCTGCAAGGCTTCTCACGAAAACTAGGACCTAGCGGGAGATGTTGTTTTCCAATCCACCTACATAAGTAGTGAGTCACACCTAAGTAGTGACTCAGGTCAACATCATGTATAGGACACTACCTGGTCCTACAGTTAAGGAGGGGGGAGGGTCCCCAGTCCTGGTGCCCGACTCAAGGCCGTCCCTCCTTACCTGAAGGTCCCTTGTCCAGCATGTTTGGACTGCTCTTGTGCGGTGCATACGTGTTGTCTCGACCATGCAAGATCGGAACAAGTTTCCATCAGCAGTTTCAAGGGCAATTAGGCACGGCGACTTTCGTGTAGTGTGACTTCAAAAGAGTTGCATCATTATCCACGCATCTGCCTAGCTATTGCGCTTTGTGACAAGCTACACTTCCTGCACACACAGTGTGTTGCGACTTTTGCGCCGCCCGTCCGGGGGTTGCATTTTCGGGCTGGCTCATGCCAACCTGCTTGCTGTTTCTCTTGCAAGTGAAATTCACAGCAACAATCAGCATTTAGCACAGACAGCGGCGGGTTTTGCCTCACGATGTTTGTGAACACATCGTTGACAACATATCCTTGACCCAGTAGGAAGCAAAATTCTGGTTGGCATGTACTGGTCCGAAAATGCCAGTACACCCAGAAAACTGTTCAGTCGTACCTGAGTATGCCCAACCTCCGCAACAGATTCGCTTGTCGAGATTCCCCTGCTACGCTTCCTGCCCCTGGCCCCAGCTTTCGGGGCCCTCTTCTCAAGTACTTCGAAAAAGCGCCAAAGCTGCTTGCAGGAGCCGCCGGCTGCACACCTGGAACCTTCCCGGCTTTTCTACTCAGCGGATGAGTTCCCTGCCCTCCGAGAGATCCAGCTAAGCTGGAGGGACTTGCATGACGAGTGGTTGACGCTATGGACTCGTAATCGCGGCCTTTTTCTCAAGTTTGAAGGGCATGCTGATTGGATGGTATATGGCATGGTCTTGTGGGGCTATGAGTTCTCGGAGAATTTGGAAATGGCTCCCTGTGCAGCAGCACTTTGGAACCGTATGCGAGATGCAGACTTGCCTCGTATCACCACTTGGGCTTTCAGTGTTCTCATGCCAGGTTGTCATATCAAGCCACATCATGAACATGTGGGAACCAGTGGTGTCCGAGCACATTTGGCGTTGCAAGTCCCCGACCGCTGCGCACTCCGTGTTGGAGCAAATGCGATGCAATGGCGTGAAGGCCAATGGACCATCTTCAACGGTAACAGGAATCATGAGGCTGTGAACATGGACGAGTCGCTGCCTCGGGTGGTGCTCCTCATTGATTTTGGTGGGCCCACGTTGAAGCGACGGTTGTGGCCCAAATGGATGCAGAAACACACAACTGAAGCTGCTCGATTGCAGTCGGTGTAGCCATGGTAGTTGATCGAAATGCTGATGAGAGGGGCCAGCGCTTCAAAAGATTGCTCAAACTTTGCTGCGCGTGGATCTCTGGAGCTGCCGATGCTATGAAAGCTTCTTCGATCTTAGTCTCCAGCTGATGCTACAGGTGGCACGATGTGAGCAGCAGCAGCTCGTGTTAGCGGCTCAGTTCCAATCCGCTATATGCGAAACGGGGCTTGAGCTGCATGGCTACAACGTGAGCACACCTGTAGGTTCCATTTCCTTCGTCCTTTCGGCGATGGGAAGGAGTGCTCTGTTCTGCTTGAGTGTCGCTCACTCCCACGTTTTAGTAGTAAGTTTTAGTAGTTTTGATTTCCGTTGGTTTATGGCCTGCAGCCATGTTCTGCTTTGCTGACAGTTTTACGGCTAGGTCCAAAGACTTCTAGGGCGACGCTCAGACGTCAGGGTTCTGGTATGTTCTGGTCCACCCTGTACATGTAACTGGCATACCTTGTTGCCTTCCTGTCCCACGTCTCGGTATATTTGTCACGACATGCAACTGTCGCGATGCTCTGCCCATGCTGACCTAGTTCGGTGCACATCCAGGAATTGGTGGTCCTCGATCGGTCGGAGTGCCAGACTGCTGAGGCGGAGGTCCGTCTGGCCTTCTTGACACTGTTTGCACCAACCAGACAGGCATTCGCCATGTGATTGCCTCGTCAAGTAGCGTGAACTGCGACGCAAAGCCTTGTGATCCCCTGCGTCAGATTCTGGCTCAACATCTGATCGGGTCACCCAGCATGGCTCTGGCCTCACGTGCTGTACAGATCTGTGCTTTGTGGATGTGGACGTACGTAATTCCAGTTGCTCGCTCGAGAGACGACTCGAGGTTCGAATCGATGGTCGCGGGGAGCCGCGGCCAGAGCCCCAGCACCTCAGCGCATCTCTCGGTTTTCGGCTTGAGGAGAAATAACGGGTCAAAGTTGCCCAGTCGGTCTTCGCCTTGTCTCGTGCTGCTCTTGGCATGCTTACTGTCAACTAGAAGTCACGGCTTTGAGTGCGCGACACTTGGATTTGTCTCGATCTGTGCAGGGCTCTGGATCCCGAGGCCACCCCCCGAGCTGTTGCTGTGTTACATTGTGCTACATTGCTCTAGTCTCTCAGATGCTGCTCGTATTCTGACAGCGAGAGCCTGCGGTGCTTTTTGAGTCTCGCCTTGAGGGGCTGCGGGTCAGCGAGGCTTTGATTTCTTGCCTCTGCAAGGCCGACCACACCGCTGCGACGACCTGACGCGCCCGGGAAAAAGACCTCTGCAGCCTCGGCACGGCTACGGCCGTGCGGAGCATCGACGGCACGGCGGAGTTGCGAAAGATTACGCAAGACTTAGACAGTGGGCCAAGGTCTGGGAGGACTTCGGCTGGGTGAGGCCTGCGGGCTGACTGCAGACCAAAAACCCTACGGCCCTTGTCGTTCCATGCTGACTAGGAACTGACACTATGCTGTAAGCTGTCGAGAGCCGACTTCGACGTCACACTTGGACTTGGGTCCGCAAAACGGGGCCATCTAGCTTGACCTCAAATCGGGCCCGCTAAGGGCAGGCTGCGATGGTTTGTTATTGGAACCATCATGAATCATCTTCATGATCCTGCTGAACAGGCCCCATCCTCCAGCCATTTCCTCGTTTGCAGGTGCAGCCTATGGTTGCTACGGAGCCAATCACTTCACCTACTCACCTTGCTGCGCAAGGACTTGCTTTACATACCTGCTTGTTGAATCCGCCAAGTTCTCCTGCCTACTCCCGACGTCTGTATCAATCCCCACACCGTGCTCGCTATCAGGACAATGGGATCCTTCCTGCATGGGCCCAACGGTTGAGCACCAAGCCATGAAGTGTTGAGCTAGACGTCTGGAAGTAACTACAGTAGGCATCCAGCACAGGTTGTGCAATCATGTGGATGGCTCTTCAGTTTCAGCTTCAAACGTTAATCCTATGTGGTGCATGTACAGCCGGGAAGTGAGTGGTAGTGAAGCAGCCGTGCGACCCGTAATGCCGATTATTGTCAGTAGTAGCGTGAAGCAATCGAACAACATAATAGAAGCTCTGATACGTCCTTTGTTTCTGCTGCAATGGCTTCAAGAGCTGCAGCAGGCAAGGGAACGAAGCGGCAGTCTATCGTATTGGAGACGTGAGCTGTATCGATCACCTGAGGCTTCTTCTAATTGATCCCTTCTAGGGTTCTCCTGACAGTAAACCAGTGCGAGCACGCGTGCCCAAAAGGTGATCTCGGCTTGTACCTGGGTGGCATCTCGATCTCAGCCTCAGGGTTGCACACCGCATGTCCAAAAGCTAGGACACGCCGAAGGACTGATGTTATAGTATAGTATAGAGTAGTATAGTATAGCATTAGCATAGCCTGGTCTAGTCTGTCGCAGTGTCGTGTAGTGTATAGTCTTATGGTTAGTAGAATAGTACAGTAGTTTATTTCGTATAGTGGTACTATCGTAAAGTGACGTCGTAACTCGTAACATGAAATATAGTAATTTTTAGCACAGTCGGGTCTAGTCTAGTCTAGTTTAACACGGTGAAGTCACGTGAAGGTGCTGGGGATGCCGCTAAAGCGGAGGTGGGCTGCAGATGACCACAGTACATGCTCTCTGCTGCGTCTTCCGTGACGTCCTGCACACACTCAATACTACAGTATCCCCTTATCGTCGTTATATAGTTCCATGGTCTAAGATGCTTCAAAAGTCTTTTCGTATTCTTCAAGCCTGTAGATTCCAGGAGTGGAGTGCTGTGAGACGGGTGCTTCTACGACTTTTTCCGCCAGGGGCCTGTGCCCGAAGAGGCACAGTTTGGCCGAGTTTACATCCCAGGCCGCCGAATGCCCAGAGCACGAGGGAACCAGGTCTTTTGCTGAACTTCCTGCAAGCCGAGGTTGGGACGTTGCAAACTTGTTCTTACCTTCATTGATCCAAGTCAAGGACCGGGTCTTGCCACTGGTCAGATCGCAGCGCTTTTTAGCAGAAGGGACCGTGGTGTTTGAAAGCACAGACAGGCTCGCAGTGTCTTAGAATCCGAACTCAAGACCTGCCATGACCTGCCGCTTTATGCTCAATGAGGATATCCACAGCCCTGTGTGAGGACAATCCCAAAGCCACCGCACACTTCCGGCAGAAGCTGTGCGCAAGAGACTACGACAGCGTCAAGCGGCTCGGCAAGCAACGTGATCCCAGGTTGTATAATGACAGTGTCACAGGGTAGTTCGAGAAGAAGCCCCGGATCTCTTGGGGGATTTCTTGCGAGGAATGCTGTCGTCACAATCTGGCTGTTGCAGGATGATGCTCCACGCGGGCTTTCCGCCACACCCTTAATTCGCTGATTCATGCTAATTTCGTTTCGGTGCGTTGTCTCCTGTGAACCATGTGAGATCGTCGGCGCTTCTTAGGCCAGGAGCAGCACTGTCACCGCGGCAGCACCGCATGCTTCCCAGTACTAACCTGATGGAAGGCAGTGTCGTTAAGTATGCATCTCTGGGGACACTTCTCGCCCAGGCACTGCGCTGTTTCTGGCAGCTGAGGCTCAGCACCTTACCCTGCTCTTTAGGATTTCTGAAACCTTGGGTCGCTGTGAAATCCCACGCGAATGCTAGACAGTGTCGTTTTGCACACTTTTTTATTTGTGAGTCTCTTCTCCTCTGATAGCACGACCATGTCCATGACAGTTTCTGACAGCGAGTGAGACAGGTGTCTGAGTTCGCAGGTAGGCTGTCGTGCGAAGCAACATGTTTTGCTGCAGATGGGTGACGTTCTTCTGTGTCAGCTTCTTCTAAGCTTTCGAGCCTCCTGGCTGCAGATCGGAGCAGTTGGCTCAGGTGAGATGCCGGGAGTGCAGGGCCTGTGGACTTCCATAACTTCCATGCCGAGGCTGATCCATTCCAGCGTCTGCGAGCGCAGCAGGATGGCATGATCAGTGCAATCAATGTGGAGGAGACCGGTGTGCCATAGGTTTCGGAGTGGTCCTTGCTCGTGGAACAGGGTTTGTCAGACCGGCTGCAACCCCGTTCGAGCAACTTCCCAATTGTGCTCCACGAGCTGTGAAGGACAAGGGCCACGTTCGCCCTCATCCGCTTGATGTGGCAATTCAGTGGCAACCCTGGCAAGCAGCGAGCATTGAGTAGCTGTGCCCGCTGGCCTTCACTGCATGCAAGTGCATCCCAGGAAGACTCTTACGGTTGCCTCCATGCTTCCACCCTGCACCGTCCCGGACGTCATGACGTGCTTTTCTAGACTTGTGATTCTCATTGGTGCTCTTGCGAGAATCGGTCGTATGCTTGCTGTTATTATTGTAATTGGTGTTGTGATTGTATCATTAAGGCTGGACGCACCATTCCAGTCTTGTTTGTCTATTGTCCGTCGCCGTCCTTATGCTTTCAACAGTGCTCGGTGTAATGTTGCATTTCTTGTTCTTCTTCACTGTCGCTACCATGGCCACTATTGAATACGATTGCTACGACGATCTTCGTCATCCTTGACTGCCAGTTGTCCGCATGGCAATTGCCGTTACCGGTACCAGTGCCCTGTTTATCCTTATGCCTCGTGACTATCATGATTCAACAAATATCATATCCACGATCGTTGCCATGACGACCGTGATGGTTGCCGTGAAGATGATGGTGACGATGATGACGGCAATGACGATGCCCATATTCATGAGAGAGCGATTGTGGTCGTTGCCTGCCCGAGGCGAGATCACTTGCCCATTGTCCACCTCTTTAACATGCACCGCTTCAATCCGCCGCCCCTTGACCTCGGCGTCACCGTTCCCGTCAGGACCGCTGTGTCCCACACATCCGCACATTGAATACAGATAATCGGGGACATAGACATTGCAGCAGTACCAGTTGTAGTAGCATGGCAGTGGCAGAAACAGCATTTCCAGCAGAAGCGGTAGCACTACGATGGCGAGAAGGGAAATAGTATTTCGTAGCAGCGGCAGTGGGGAGTAGCAGTAGTAGCAACCACAGCGGCAGCAGCAATAAGCTGCCAGGGCAGTCGCAGTAACAGTCGGAGTAGGAGTAGGACCAGGAGCGGCAGCAGCACTGGTACCGTTGACGATGACAAGGTACTCATGGTCATAAGAGTCATTATGCGATGTGTTGGCCAAGTAGAAGTAGTAGTTGTTGTTGCTGTAGTTGTAGTTGTACTTGTAGTTGTAGTTGTAGTAGTAGTAGTAGTAGTAGTAGTAGTAGTAGTAGTAGTAGTAGTAGTAGTAGTAGTAGTAGTAGTAGCAGTAGCAGTAGCAGTAGCAGCAGTAGCAGTAGCAGTAGTAGTAGTAGTAGGAGTAGTAGTAGTAGTAGTAGGAGTAGAGTAGTAGTAGTAGTAGTAGTAGTAGTAGTAGTAGTAGTAGTAGTAGTAGTAGTAGTAGTAGTCAGTACTAGTAGGTAGGTAGGTCGGTAGGTAGCTAGGCAGGTCGGTGTAGCAGCACAGTAGTAGTAGTAGTAGTAGTAGTAGTAGTAGTAGTAGTAGTAGTAGTAGTAGTAGTAGTAGTAGTAGTAGTAGTAGTAGTAGTAGTAGTAGTAGTAGTATTCGTAGTCGTAGTGGTAGTGGTAGTGGTAGTGGTAGTGGTAGTCGTAGTGGTAGTGGTAGTGGTAGTGGTAGTGGTAGTGGTAGTAGTAGAAGAAGTGGTAGTAGTTGTGGTAGTAGTAGTAGTAGTAGCAGTGGTGGTAGTGGGAGTGGGAGCAGGAGTAGGAGGAGGAGGCGGAGGAGGAGGACGAGTAGGAGTCGTGTTGGTGGTGGTGGTGGCGGTGGTGGTGGTGGTGGTCGTGGTCGTAGTCGTGATAGCGGTATTGGCGCTGGCACCGGCACTTACCGTGGTGGTGGTACAGACGGTTTTTGGGGTCGTGATAGATCGTGATAGGGTCGTGGTGGTGGTGATGGTGGTAGTGGGCGTAGGAATGCAGATGTGCATGAGGCAATCACAGCAAGCTTCCCCAAAGCTTTCTTTCCCGGAGGCAAGAGTTTCCGCTGCGGCTCGAGCTTCAGGCACTTCATGTTGGTGGGGTTTCTCTGCAGGTTCCACGAAAAGCTGCGGTGCCGCGTGCTTCTCCTCTAGTCGGCATCAAACGGTGATGTAGCAGGTGCATGTCATGTTGATATAGTGCGCTGTTTTTCTTGGTCGTGTTTCCGGCTGAATGACCATATTGCAATGTGACAGGTCGATGCAGTTCATAGAGAGTGTGGTGGAAACCGCCTAACAGACAGCCTCTACAACAGCATCCGAACCCCGGCAGTATCTCAGACTTGAATGTGCTTTGCACTCAATACGGCGGGAGGCAAATGAGTCTGGGCTGATGGGCCTGCGCGAACCGCTGGATCGAAAGGCCAAGTAAGCCGAAGCAGCGGAAACCTGCTGCGGGCAGTCAGTGCAGTGCACAGCACACGGTGTAGACGGATCCAATGACTACTAGTAGCAAATCTAAGACGAAATCCTCGCTTGCAAAGCAGCTCCAGTTTCCGGGCAGCAGACCTTCAAAAGGTCCTGCATGGATGTCGGAGCTGAGCCGGTAGTCTGACCGCAGGCTGCAGCAAAAGAAAAAGCGTTCACTCTACACAGCGAAAAAGGGGGGGTTTCTGCGAAGCTTCGCAGCCATGAAATGTGGCATCTCGACCCTGGTGCTCTCGAGGTTTGGCAAGTTCCCCGGCGTTGATCTGCGTTTGGGACTTGGTGCTTGGCTTTGGACTGTGTGCAGTAAGTTTGCCATGGTAGCAGTCTTTTGCAATGAGCTTGGAAGCTTAATCTTTTCCGAAATGTGTTGCAGACTTTCCTGTGTCTGTCTGGCAGCCGGCTGCCTGCGATGCCTACGCGTGGTGGTCTGGTTGGTTGTCCGTGTCCGTCTGCATTTCTACGGGTCACTGCATCGTCCCCGAAGGCTTCGAGACTCTGAGTCGCCGATGCCGCGCGAATTCTGCTGCTGGCCCTGAATTGCAAATGCCGTAAAGCTGACACCTATGCAAACGCGGGGAAAGAGCAACCTGCATCTTGGGTTGCCTCTATGGAAAAACCGGCAGGTTGACCTCTGTTTGCCGGCACAACTTCAGTTATGTATGGTTCTCGGAACTGGTTACCATGTGTGACAGCTGTTTTGCTCCCTTCTGCAGCATTCTGGGCTGCAGGGCTTCAATATACCTGGACAACATGTATAACCCAGGTTCTGTATTCCTTGCTGCATGGAAATTGCTGGCATCACTTTCTCAGCACCCTGTATGGACAGAATTCAAGATGTCTTTGGGCAAGCAAGTGCTGCTTTCTCTTATGCTAAAAAGATCTGAGAAGTGCATGTGAAACTTGCTCAGTGTTAGTTCTGACGGCCTGTTTGCGGCAATGGATGCCGGAATTCGGAATATCATGGAGGCCAGAGCAGAATCGTTGATTGTATTTGATAGGAGCATATCACAATGCCGTCGTATCTTGGAGCTCGCAGCACACTGAAAGGCACCACTTTTTTACAAGCGGGCTCAAGGGTAGGAATACCCTAAATCGTGAACCCTGAGCCCTCGATTAACAAAGGCGACACCCTAAGCCCGCAAGCCAGAGACCCTAATCCCGAAATTTTCCAGAGATGGTTTCTGCTCTGGAGGACATGGATGCCTGCACAACTACACCACACTCTCCGACAGGCATCTCCGGCCGGTTTTCTGTTTAGCTGTGAGGGTGTTTCGTTGGAGTCTCCTGCCACTGCTAGGCGATCGTATCTCCCGCTTGTTGGAGCAAATGAGGACTTGCGTTCTGGTCCGCAACTCAGTGCTTTGCTCTGGCCAATAGTGCAATGTCCGGATGTCGAAGTCCCACACTGCCTGGCGTGTGTTGCCTTGGTATTTCATTGGCTGTTTTCGCACAGGTGCATCATCAACTCAGTTGCCTGCTCATCCATGCCAGCGCGCTGGACGCAGGCACAGTGAGTGCGAAGCTTGCTGCATGAGCTCGAGCTGTCCACGACATGAATCTCTGGTTGCGGAGTTGATGAGGGGGGGAATGGACGATAGTCAGGAATTCTGCGCAGGAAATTTTGTGCCCGTGTGCGGTACAGCTCCGGATAGCGAAGCAAAGGGGTGTGCCATTGGCACTTCGGTACGGGACACTGGAAGAAAAGCGTTGGAACATTAGGTCATCAGGTGGGCAGGCGGCGCGAGTCGAAATCTTCACGATGGAGCTCTCAAGCGATGGCCGATGGCGTATGAGATGACGCCACACAGGCCTTCAGTCGTGCTGGAACATGACATGGGAGGACGTTTTCCAATGGAACACAAGAATTATACTGCACAAAGGTACGACTATCCCCACTCCCCAAAGCTCACTGTAGGCATGTGTAGGGAGCTTTGGTCTCTGGCTTGTCTCGGCCCAAGTTCAGCTCCACGTGAAACGGCCCATCCTACATCAGTGTATCTGGGTCATGCCACGTAAAACGAAGTGGTTTACCGGATTTAAGAAGCAGTTGCCCCGTGTCGACGGGAAAGTTTTCGTGATCACCGGCACGACGTCAGGCACAGGCTTTGTGGCGGCTCGCACAGTGGCGGAACTGGGCGGTGAGGTGCTGCTCTTGAACCGCAAGTCGGTCGTGTGGAGGAATCCCTTCAGCGCTTGAAACAGGCTGTGCCTGATGGGAAGTTCGTGAATGTGGAGTGTAATTTGCAGAGTTTCGCCTCAGTCCGACACGCTGTCGGAGAGATCAAGGCGAAGTATCAGAAGATCTACTGTCTTTGCAACAATGCCGGGATTATGGCCCAGCCAGATGAGGCCACAGTGGATGGATATGACACACAAATGCAGACCAACCATTTGTCACATTTCCTTCTGACTGCAGAGCTGTTTCCCTTGCTTGAGGCCGAGGCCAAAGACACAGGCGACGCGCGCATTGTGAACCATTCCTCAATGGGTCGCGACCATACACAACACAAAGGTCTTGAAGAGAAGTACTTTGGGAAGAATGGCGGCAATCTTGGCGGAAACTCCGTGAAGGTTATGGCTGGTGCGAACTTTTGGCGCTACTTTCAGTCCAAGTTGGCCAATTCCGTGTTCACCTATGCCCTTCAGCAGAAGCTGGATGCGAAGAACATCTCAATACGCTCCTGTTGTGCTCATCCAGGTGGATCTGACACCAACCTCTCCAATGGCGTGGAGTTTGACAGTTGTTGCGCCGGCTGTTGTTTGTCTTGCTTGCTACCCTACATGATTCAGTCGGCCGAGGACGGAACGATGGGAATCCTAATGGGCATGGTGCACCCAGATGCCAAAAGTGGTGTCCTCTATGGGCCGAAGGACAACGGCACGAAAGGTCCCGCGGTGCCCAACCCTCCGAAGCCATATGAGACGGATCCTAAGGCCATCGAAATGATGTGGCGCACAAGTGAGGAAGCAACAGCTTTGCAGTTCGTGATCTGAAGCCGCAAAGGAGCTGCGCAGTGGCGTTGAAGAACCCTCCATCCTGTGAGCATGGATGCCGAAGTGTGTGCCTTGTATCGAACTTGCGGACCGCTTTTGTGTTCGTCGCAGTACATCTGCTTTGTTTTCGGTGCATCCGTGCCAACGGGAGGACGTGTGGCCGCTTAATTCGTTTCGGTCCCGCGTGTCTTCATGTGTGATCCATGTGTGTCCATGTCATCTGTCAGAATCCCTGATGGTGCCTTGCCAGCCATTGCGAGCACGGTCTGAAAAGTCCGGCACTCCATAGGCTGTCAATGGCTGTCACACTTTGAGCGGCGTTTGCCTGAGAACACCCTTCCGCATCACAGAACGCAGCAGTGTTTAAGCCGGAAGCTTCTGGATTCCGCACGCCTGCTGTCGTTTCCAGTCTGACACTGCTGTGCAGGTATCTACGGCGACGCTGCATCATTTGATGAGAGCACGGAGGAGGTGCATAGGACAGCATGTGCACTGGAATAAGACCCGAGATAACAAAAGCACCGGCTCTGATTGATGGCTTGTCGTTTTCATTTTCATGTGGCAGCTCTGAGCCAACACAAGCTGCAGGGACGAGCGGATAGTGAGGGCGCTGTGCTGACAGTCGTTTCGTACATTCAGCTTTTGTGCGTGCTTGCGTCCTTGAACGAGGGCAACGACGCCCTACGCCGATCCATCCAAAGCCTTGGGGGCTCCACAGCTCCATGGCACCGTTTACTGTCAGTCGCGAGCGGCAGACAGTCGGGCATGCAGATGCAGAGCATGTAGGCCCAATGTAGGCATTTATGCCCAAGCCTCTTTCAAAGGCTGCTTCTGTCTAAGGCTCGCTTGTTTTGCATGGCGCTGCAGGATCAGAAGGCAACTTGTCTCTTGAAGTCGATCCGGTCTAGTGCACTCGACCAAAGTAAGCTCGGCTAGTGCGAGCTGGTGGTAATGTGCTCACGTCATGGCACCGCGTCGAACTCGGCCTTTGCATCATCTGTTTGTGAGCCGAGGATCTGCGATCGATGAGCCATACGTTGCAAAGCCGCGTGGAGTCGATGGTGGAAGGCAAGAAAGGGGTGAGACAAGCTTGAGGTTGGAAGTTAGAAGCTGGAAGGGCAAACGAACTTCAGCTCTGTGCAACACGAGGGTCGCTGGTGCATGTCCAAGCGTGTTAGACTGTCAAACAGGATCGTATTTCTCGCAGGCAGTTTTATATGGAGACCTGTGCGGACATCATTTCAGTGCTGACCCTTCGTCAATGGGAGGTCTTCAAACAGAGCTGGGATTGACAAGCGATGCCGTGCACTGCCCAGAAGACTGCCGAGCCGACAGTCCTTGCAAACCGTGGCCCAAGCTTGCAAACTGCTGCAGCTGCAACTCCGAGGACTGTTCCGGGGCCCTGGCTGCGGAAGTGGCAGACTTGGAGGCCAGCGCTGAGGTGAGAGGTCGAGGGAGGTAGCATGCTGGTGGAAGTATACCTGAGAACATGCAAGGTAGCATTGGCCCAAAAGCACGCGGAGGCCTTCCGATTCTGAGTTGGAGATGTTTGGCTTAGCTGTCGGCTGAGTGCTGCCGAAAGCGAGGTTCAGGAGCTTCGTCACGTCGCCGACGATCGCCGACAGCGCGCGGAAGAGAAGCGCCGTGCCATTGCCGTGCAGCTTAGTCCGGGAAGATCCAGTACCAGGGAGTTTGAACCGACGTACACCACCGTGGCCATGGGCCATGCAGCGAGGTCATGCAGCAAGCAGCAAGGCCGCCTTCCCGCTTGACCTTTGTCTCGGGGCGGAACTGAACCTGCAGAGAGCTCCCTTGCCAGGGTGAGAGCAGCTGAGCGCCGGCTGCAGGCAAGGAGCCTTATGTCGCAGGGTCTTGTAAGGGGGTTCTGGTTACACGTGCCTTCACATTAGAGGACTTATCGTCCAAGACTCAAACGACTCAGCTTCGAAG